CCGGTTCCCGGGGAATCGGCCAACTAGTTCGTAGGATAACTCCTCAACCGACAGCCCACATCACGTCAACCACCCCACAAGACGGGGACGTGGTGAGACTGACTACCAGTTGCCTGTACAGTAATGTGAGAGGTCTAAGAGGCAAAATAGCTGAACTTGGATACCTACAATCACGGCTGAACTCCAAAATCATAATACTGACGGAAACCTGGCTAACCCCTACGGTGGCAGACAGCGAAGTCAGTATAAATGATATGGTCCTAGTCAGGCGAGATAGGGATCCGAAAGAAGGAGGTGGAGTCGCCATATACGTCGACAAACAGCTCAGATGTGTCCATGCAATCGACCCTCCCCTCATTGAGCTCCCTGACTCCATATGGTGCCATTTCACCGTTGGGTACTGTAAGTATCTAGTGGGCAGCATTTACAGATCACCTTCATGTGAGAACAAACCAGGTACTGCTGAATGCAATTTCAGCGACACATGACATGGGTTATGATCAAATTGTCACAGCTGGAAACTTCAATGCCCCATCTCTTAACTTGATGACGGGATGTGCCCAGGACAGATTTGATCGAAATCTGCTGCATACCATCAGGGAAGCCGGATTCACCGAAAATGTCAGAATGGATACTACATAGGGCCCAAATGGGAAGTCTTCTAGACTGGATTACGTGCTCACTAGTGACCAGCTACTAGTGGAAAACGTTCAGATCACGACTCCCATAGGTAGTAGTGACCACGCGGTCATAACATTCGACATAGTCCTCCGCGAGCGTTTACAGTGGGACAATACACAGCCCTATCTGTGTTATAACAAAACCAATTACACCGAAATGCGAAGACTTTTGTCCGAAGCAAATTGGCCAAAAAATTGGACAGAGCTAACAGTAGAAGAGCACTGGAGAGTGGTAAAGGAGATCATTCACCAGGCGGTCTCAGACACTGTTCCTTTGGTCACACCTAAAGCTATGAAGCAACGTTCATGGCTAAAAAGGGGGACACAATGCCTTCTACAGGCGAAGCGAAAAGCCTGGTTTGCGTGGCGACTATCGAAGAGTCGACCCGAACATGAAGTGTACCTCGAACTCAGGAATCGGTGTAACAAACGAGTCCGGAGTGATAGAACGACATTTCAGAGAAACCTCTCCAATAAGCTTCTCGTGAACCCCAAAAGCCTATACAGGTTTATGTCTGAAAGAAAACTGACCAACCAGGGAGCTTGCAATCTAGTGGGTTCTGATGGGAAATCTCTTACTAGTCTTGAAATGGCAGAGACATTCAGCCTAGCCTTTCACAGGCAACTGAACAGTAATGAGGATTTTACCCCCACAAAACATCAAGATTGCAATGCAAGACCAACGTGCGAAAACCTGCTGGGTACATTTCAAATTATCCCGGCTATGGTACTCGTAAAATTGGGAAAGTTGGCTTCGGGAAAGTCTGCAGGTTGCGATGACATAAGACCATCCGTCCTGAAGCAGTGTTCAGAAAGTCTCTGCCAACCTCTAAGTGATATGTTTCAACACTCCTTTGATGTAGGGAAACTTTCATGTGAATGGAAACGAGCCATCCTATCCCCTGTCTTCAAGGGTGGTGACCGGCAGAACGCGACCAGTTACAGACCAGTTGCGCTACTCCCAGTGATATCGAAGATATTGGAAAGTCTCATTGATGACCACATGAGAAAATACTTCGACGGGACTAACCTACTCCATGAAGCACAGCACCGTTTCAGGAGGGGAAGATCCTGTGTGACGAATCTTCTACTAGCTTGGAACGATTGGACACTATCCTGGGATGTAAAGGTACCAGTCCATGTGATCTTTCTCGACTTTGCGAAAGCATTTGACACAGTTGACCATGGTCTGCTCCTTCACAAAATAAGCAAAGCGGGTGTTTCTGGAGCACTTCTCGCATGGCTGGAAGATTATTTAGGCGAGAGAGAATTCTGCACCAAAGTCAACCACATCCGATCATCCTGGCACACGTCGGCATCAGGGGTTCCTCAGGGTTCTATCTTAGGGCCGTTGATGCTTTTGATTTTTATCAACGACCTGCCCTGTCAACTGAATTGCTCTGCGCTTCTTTACGCTGACGACGTAAAGATTTGGAGAGCAATAAACTCATCGGAAGACTTCGACAGATTGCGGGCTGACCTGCAAACACTGGGAGACTGGGCTCTGGCTAACGGAATGCCTTTCAACTTCAAAAAGTGCAAAGTAGTGCAACTTCATTCCGGCAGATCACAGAGTGCAAATTACACCCTTGGTGGCTAGAACTTGAGTTGTGTGCCATCGGAACGTGATCTAGGCCTTATTTTAACAGAAAAGCTAGACACCAGTGTAAATTACACGAGGGACGTCGCCAAAGCTTACGCCACTTTACACTTTATGCATAGGCAGCTGGGAGCTCTTACTCCTGAACTATTCTTAAAATTGTATACGACATACGTGAGGCCACTCCTTGAGGTGCATAATATCATTGCTCCTCCACTACTCAAAAGGGATGCTAACATTCTAGAAAGTGTCCAGAGACGAGCGACAAAATGGGTGATCAGCCTCCGCAACAAATCATATGAGGAAAGACTGAAGAAATTAAGTCTTTTCACACTTAGTTGTGGTGAGAGCAAGCTGCTAGCCAATTGGTAGACAATGATCTACGCTGATTGGTGGAAATTAATCTAGGCTGGTTCGACAACCGATCACAGCTGACCTAGACGTGGACAAATATGATTCGCAGACAAGTGGCTCGCACTTCCGAGAAATATCGAAAACGAGAAAGCAGAAGACTGCGTTTGTTTCCAAACAACCAATCAGAAGACCGCCTTCTTTCTGCGGGCAGAGCCTTATTAATGTACGTAAAATACATATAAATACCTGTTGGTTTTCGTAATAAAACTGATCTGTTGCCTGGCCCTTGTCTTCTGTTGTTACATAGTTACCGTGGTCACAGGGGAGACCTCATCACCGTCTATAAGATCTTAAATGACCAGGCCCACCCTAATAAGAGCATCCTGCCATTAAGTGATTCTAGGCTTCCACGAGGTAACCCGCTAAGGATAGCACACCAGAGACCAAGGACTCGGGTGCGTTCACATTTCTTCTCGCTTCGAGTTTGCCGTCTCTGGAACGGTTTAACGGCGGCCGTAACTACAGCTCCATCTGTGGAGACTTCTAAGCGGAAGCTGGACGATCATGCAGAAATGCATGGTTTGTGTCTCAATGGCTTACCCTCTTAAAATTTGAAACCACATTGTCAATGGACAAGCATGCAAGCTAAATCCTCACGACCCGTCCTGTCTTCTCCCACTGTACCGACTACTCTATCTTTTCTTTCTTTCTTTCTTATCTCACCTTTATTATTTCACTTATCTCAACCTATATTATCTACACTACAACCTATTATTATCATTATTATTATTACTATTCTACTTTTATGACTATACCGAATGACCAACGGGTGTTAGGTCAAACTCCATTCACGCCAGCAGCTGAGTCCTAACATACTGGACACTACAAACCACAATCTTGACCAATCCTCGCACCACTCCTCTTGGAGTCTACCAGAGCTAAAGCAGTCGAGTGGCGGGATTTACTACGCATAAGTTCACCGAAGATCTGGAACCTCTACCTTACAATCAAGAAGCGAGCTCAAAGAAATCACTGGTTTATACTAGCTCGTAATCAGATATTGGATATTGGATTGGAAGACTTGGCGTTGGTCAAGTGTATGACTTCCAACCTGAAAAAGTGCCAGGTAGTGGAACTACGCACCTGTCGGTTGCAGAATGCAAGTTACACCCTGTGCAACGAAAGCTTGTCCTGCACAACGTCAGAGAGAGACTCACGTCTAGTTCTAAACGAAAAAAATGGGCGAAAGCGTGAACAAAACTGGGATATAGGGGGCATATGCGTCATACACTTTCCATATTGACAGTTAGCTGCAGTCTTTCTTACGTTCTTTCTAAGGCTTTACGAAATATACGTCTGACCACACCTTAAAGTGCACAATATAACTGCAGGCCTACTACTTAGAAAAGACGCGAACCTTTTGGAAAGAGTCCAAAGATGGGCGACAAAGAAGTGGTGGGTCTCCGAAACAAATCATAAGATCACTAGCTGAAGAAATCGGTTCTCTCCACACTTAGCCACGTTCGGCTAAGAGGGGACTTGACTACTGCCTATAAGATATCAAATGACCACAACCACCCAAACAAAGGTGTTCTGAAGTTGAGTAGGTATGAGCCTCGTCGTGGAAATCCTAGGAGGACAGCTGATCAGAGAGCAAAGAATCAGGTGCGCTCCCATTTATTCTAATTGCGTGTTTGCCGTCATTGGAACATCATACTGGTAGATGTAGCTACCGCACCTTCAGTGGACAGCATTAAGCGAAGGCTGGACGAATATGCAGAGGGACAAGGACTGTGTCCAAATGGTCTACCTGCTTAAAATCCCATATACCATACATGAGTAGACCTCTAAATTCACCGTTTTAATTCCTAATATTCTAGCCCGTCTTACCCTCCGACTACTCCAACTATTACACTTACACACATATATAAATATATATTTACATATGTATATGTATCACCAACAAATTTAATTGGCCGTCTGTTTTTACGTTTTCTTTAATTTCTTTTTCTGTCTTTTAGTCTGAATAACTTACATCTGTTATTATTATCTCTTTTCTCTTGGGGACGACACCAGAAGACTAACTGTTGAAAGGATCAACTCCATTCGCAGAAGCAACATGTCTCAACACACCACATACAATAAAAAACACATAATTAATCCCATCATGACTCCTTTTGGAGTCAACCAAGGCTACGGCAGTTAAGTAACGAGACGAACTACGCAGAAATTTGCCAAAGACCGAGAACCTTTAACTCACAATTAAGAAGCGAACACCAAGAAATTAATCAAACGATATTGGACATTGGGACAGTACACTGAGTTATGGAGTTGTCCTCTTTTTAAATGCTTTGTGAAGAGTCAAGGTTATTTTGGAGTCTTGGATACAGTGGCGCCCAACCCAAACATCAGAAAATAAATAAAGAAGCTGTTAAATAACAAATTATCACTTACACCTCGAAGTGTTATGGGGTCTCAGGGGAAGAAAGTAATTTTAATAAATCTCTCAATGTCATTTGTTTACATGATGATTGTTATTATTTTCAACTAATCTTTTAATTCTTCATCTTGATTTAAAATCCCTAGCTAGAGGTAACCTGAAATGTAATCATGTGCTTTAAAATTTTTTGCCGTTTTCTATGAGCAAAAATTAAGTATAAGACTTTAAGGATGGTCGAAATAAACGTACGTTTATTTCGACCAATCTTTTACGTAAAAGATTGAACGTGGCATGAGATTGGTAAATATTCCTCTGAGTTGTGTGCGATAACCAGATTACAGAGCACTTAATCAACATAATTGTCAGTATTACGCATAACGCTGGAGCACTATCAATTCTCTGAAATTTGAACCCAGAATCATTAAACCTCGTATCTTCATTTTTCATGTCCACGGTGGCATGGAAAGACGGAAAAAGAATATGATTTACATTTTAAGTTAGACATCTTTGGTCCACGGCTCAGTTTATCTAGTTATTTTCGGTTAGCGTGGGATAACCAGTGATTAATATAGTTTGTTTTCCAGGTAGCACTGGTTTTGGGCGCATTACAGAACATTGGGACAAACTTAGGGTCTACTGCAGCAAACTGGGATCTTACGTTTTATTTAAAATTTGTATGCGAAAGAATGTTATTTTTAATATCCTCCTTACTGCACTATTAGGCCATACTATCTCGCATACTAAGAAACAAGAAACGTCTAGATATCTTCGACACATTCTTCAAGATAACTTCTCCGTAAAAGGCTGTGAAGGAAAGAAGATTTCGTTATTCACGTCTTATTGAAGTAGATTCAGACGGCATTATTTTGATCCTAGTATCATGAGACATTTTCTGCCAGAGAAACCGTTTCTCTACTCGTATGAGAGCATATACTTTGCACAGCGACTAGTTTTCTGGCTAGAAAATCACAACAATAAAGCAGTTGAAATTCTTACTGGATGCCGAAGGTAAACGATTTAAGTTCTTAGCACGCGCTTGACATTTAAAATGTACACCAAACGGAAGTTTTTGTGGAAAAGGTCAGCAATCATAAAAGGTCTGTAAATGTTGACAAATTGAATGCTGGACAACCTATGAGGCACTCAAAAGTTCCCATGGACCATTGACTTATTCATTCTCTTTACTGGATGGGTCACAAATTTATTAACGGATCTTCTTTGTTCGTTGATTTAGGTCGTTCTACTAGTATCTAATATGTTTTCTATTTCCATTTATGATGAAAAATATACTTAATTATTCATAGATGAATTCCTTCCCTTATGATGCCGTCAGAAATTCTAGGTTTTTCTAAGAGTCGATCCTATTCCAATAACCACCCTCTTATCGAAACTGGCGATTCATGTGGTAAAATGCAATCTAAGTACTTTCCAAAAACAGGATGAAATGTGAAACCATAAAAGTTGTTTATTTACAGTTTAATACCACTTCACTCAGAAATTTGGATAAAGATAAACACTGGCCGGGCGAATGTGAATAATTCTCCAATAAACCTCAGTCAACGCCATGTATGAAAGTAATCAAAATAGAATAAATACACCCTGTCTTCATCTTCTTTTAGAAGGCCGTAGTGAAATAACCATAATTTGTCAAAAAGAACCCATTTGACCAGGCTTAACTAATAAGAAAAATGTTCTTTTTGGTTATGAAATGTATAAGCATGCTAATTTGGAGGTATTTAGTGGATGTAACAGGCGCATTGTCATGAATGCATGTACAAATCACGAGACTTTTGTTGAGTTTCATATAATGCTTGTTACATTTAGTCATAGCACAAATTGACGATGAACGTCAAAGCCTAGTTGTAATCCGTTTGATAACGTTTAATTTGATCAATTAAAGCTGAACTCTGAATCGTATGGCTTAGCTGGGAGGTTGTAATTATTTGACTAGGCTCAATAATAAGACTTTTGTGGTTGGATATATCATTACCAGTAGGTTCTGTAAATAGATGTAAACAAGATTGCAGTCTGATAAAATTAGATTAACAATTCGTGTTGCTTTTTTGTTGGGATTTGATCGATTTAAAGTTTGACTAAAAACTGGCTTCATTTAGAGAACAACTGGAAACCAAGCAGCCCTAAACAACCGTTTTGTCCTAGTTCGGGGCAATCTAGCAACATGCACCCATAACCCCATTGCACAGTACTCCCTGGTTTTCAAAGGTATCTTCAACCGAAGTCAGTCCTTGACTAAAATTGAAATCAGTCAGATTCCTGCGATCCAACTCTTGAAAGACAATGCAGTTCTCACTAGTGACTTACTATATGATGGAGTTGCTTGAATTTCTGGTGAGTACTCGTGACAAATGGAGTCCACCATGTTGGGTGTGAGGAAAAATGCTCACCCATAAAAATGGCTGGCTGTTGCGCTATATATTGCGACATCGCAAGTTAAGATTGATGTACCATTGGATTCCGTTCCGGAGTATGAATGGTCAACAATCTGTTCTTGTAACTTGAGGGTCCTAGGTTTGACCCCAGGTAGGGTCCTAAACAAGGATGAATCAACTTCCCGTTATTTCTTGACTTCCAGTGGTTCTATAATAGAAGTTAGTTCATGATCAAACTGGAAATGTTTCTGCATTGAGTTGAAGGATACCAACTAGTTGAAGCCGTCAGAATTATGGTATTACTGTGGTCGACAGTGTTTCCTATGAACATACTTCCTCTTCTTTATAAGTAACTTTTATACTAAATAAACTGAGATATATGAATGTTTGACGTACTTTTGTTTCTTTTTCAGCAAATTTGAGGACCGGTATTACAGTGCTGATATCAGGTTATGTGTATGAACAAAAGGTATCTGTGATCAAAATTCCAAAATTAAAGCTGTGTGGGAGATGGAAAGTGACAAAGAAGACAAGTCATTTGAAGAGGAAAATAAGAATACGGATATGAAAGATGGATTATTTTCTGAAGAACCTATTGAACCTCAAAACAGAGACCGAGTGGATTTCGGGACAAATGTTCAAGACACCGAGCATCATGAGTCCTCAAACTTTCTCACAGTCGGCACTACAGTGGAAGAAGGTGAAAACGATGTTAGGTACAATGGTAATATAAATAATGCCAAAGAAGCCTCTAATTCCATCAAGGATCCTTATATACATGATGATAATGTGAAGTATGATTATCCTGTTTTCTACAGCGAACCCAAAGACAGCGTAACTGTTCACATAGATTCGGCCTATGGAATATTGACGGAAATATTTTTTGTCCCTGAGAAATACACTGTCTCGGATGTTAGAATTTTGTTAGTCAGAGATACTGGTTTGAAAGAAGAAAACTTTATGCTCCAATACAAAGGTGAACTGGTAAGCTTTGATACTCCCCTGATTACTTTAGCAGAGGAGAATAAGCTAGTGAATTTCTCACTTTTATTACGAAATGCTGAGGACTCATTAAAAATTAAGCTAGGAAGCCGTGAAGTAATCTACACCTCAGGACTTGTTGTTAAAATTTATGGTAGAAAAACAACGGTAACAGAAGACCCTTACAGTCAACAAAGTATTATGATAGTCCAAAAAGAAGGTGGAACAGACAAGGAGCAAGAATTTATTCACATAAATTGGTTGCCACATAACCATCATAAACCATTCTTGGGCGGCTACAGGAATATTCTTACAGACTGCAAATACCATAATGCATCCACACAAACAAAACCATTACCACGGAAAATTAAGGAAACTGTGCAAACATCGAGAGATACACAGACATACAAAATGCGTCATTTTGGAAACATGACAGTTAACCATATGTCCACACAGTTTTCAATGCCAGGATTTTTTGTGTCCAATAGCCAAGATAGAGTGAAAACTCCCGGACCATATGAGTCAGCGGATGAATATCTTGCTCGAGTATTGCAGAAGGTAAGATATTTTAAATTTCGAAGTGCATATATATGTGAAAAGATTATTGCATAGCCTCATATATAATATTACATGGCGAGGTTACTTTTTTAAGGTGTTTGGACTACTTAGTTAGTTTCGGTACTTGCGCCTAATCTTCAGCCTGAAATTACTTTCTGCGATATGTGAGTTAACACCTTCAAAACATGTCTTGGGAAACATCGGATTTTCCCGTTTCTTAAATACAGTGTGATCAACCAGCGCTTCACACTGTGACTTATTATAACGTGATAACTGTGATCTGTATACCATACAACCATACAAGATGGCATGCATAAGACGTTGCAAATATTTTTTTAAAGATGCATAGCATTTAGTAGCAGTATTGAAGTCCTGTGGGTGGAATGAGTAATTAAACAAGAAGATAAAAGTGCTTACTGCGAAACCCAAATAAATTTTTCAGGTGCTTTTATTCTAATATTTAACGAGCCCCAATTTCAAATTCGATCATTTCGTACTTGAATTCGCCGCCTTAACCATTATAAAACTGATATTCTAGTAATCAGTTGCACATGTCTCATTACGTCGCCGTATGTATGTGCGTCGGTGGTATAGCGGTTAGTACGCTCGTCGACCATGCACATGGTCCGGGGTTCGATCCACGGCCGGCGCAACCCTTTACCTCGCTAAGCCAGAACTAAAAAGCTGGTGAAGAGGAAAGGTTGGGTATGAGGCTTGCAACTCCATCCTGTAAAATAAACACTGCTACAGAATCTTCAAGCCTCTAGCTTGAAGCCCTATGTTCCACTGGGGAACGTGAAGGAGGAAAAAAATGTTTGAAAAAAACTTTATCATCATTATTTCAACGTACAGAATACACAATAGTGGAGAAGGAAAATAATGGTTTAATGTCAGTAAAAAGTTTGAGCATTGTGGAATAGATCAAATAAACAGAACAATTCCAACAGCTGGTGTGAACACGGGCAGTAATTTTGCTCGAAATATTACCAATAAAAAAACTTATCATTGTGTGTAAACTATTGAAATATAATTATACTTTATTTGTAGGAAAATGGTTTTGAAAATCAGTGGATGTCAAGCTTTGCAATGTTAAAAGTTGTCAGGAAATTGCACCCTTCATTTAATCAATAAAATGGTATCCATAAAGATCTCATGTTGAGAACAAAACAGTTGAAGCAGTTATCAGTTAATAACGTAAATAGTGAGTGGTACCATAGAATTTGTACCTAGGCTAAGGAAATTAGATAGTCTACTGGCAGCTAAGCAGTAGTGAATGAAACGTCTTTATGGATTTGGTAATGAGTGACATCTGCTGGATTGTCGCGGAGGGATTCGAACCCAAGGTATATGATTGAAATTCGAGTATTTGAACCAAAGAGACTGAAAGTGAAAGTCTCTCAAATAATGTGCACACAAGTGAATCAATTAAAGGTACTTTTTATAACAAAAATGACAATTTTACTGTTACGTATATGGTGACTTGGAGGAGGTCATGTGAAGAGGAGATGAAAACGTGTGGGCAGACATGGAGCCAGGTGAAGACTCTAGCAGAGAACCGAACGCAATGGGACGCACGGCTGAAACCCTATGTTCCTCTAGGAATTAAAGGATACAATAATAATTGGGAAATTCAAACAGTTTCTAAAAGAGCATACAAATACAGAATTAAATTGCATAACGAAGTATACTAACTACACAAAAACTTCTCGTCAGAATTCAATCAGATGGTAGTTATCAGAATTTCTAAAGTAAAAAGAAAATGTACGACACTCGTTTCGAGAATAAAAATTTCCTTGTCAAGCCATGACTTTTTTATTTCAAGTAACCAGTTCATAGTAGATTTCAAGCTCACCCAACCTGCTCAGGAATGTAAAGGCAGGTAGTTTCACTAAACTGCATAAACTGTCTTGTCGTCTGCTAATGCATAAACATGAGGTTGACAGCGGACTTTTACCTCGTTAAGTTTCGCTAAATATTACTTGAATTATCTTTAGAAAACAAACGATCAAATAACATCACTCATATTGATGTGTCTCAAAAAAACTGAAGATAGTAAAGTGTCAGTCTTGTTTTTTACTTTGTAGATTATTATCATTCAAAAGTATATACGTCGATGGCTTGCAAAGAAAAGAGTGGCGCGTTTAAAGCAGATGAGAGATGACTATCTGGCTTGGGAGGAAGCCAAAGCTCAGGAATACAAAGACGAAATTGCAAGAAGAATGGCGCATGACTTTGAGCGAAGGCTTCATCCGAAAACTGCAGCTGACTTTGACAGGTTGTACAATGCTTTGGAAGCATGGAGGAGAGAAGAAGTACAGAAAATAGAAGAGCAAAATTTAACAGAAGCAGAAAAGAAAGCAGCTTTAGCATTAATACTGAATGAAGAGGCTGAATTGATAACAGCTATAACCAGACACCAGATATGTATAACCAAGAAGAATGCAGAAAAAATTCGGTCTCATTGTCTAAAAAAAGCTGCTGCTCCGCACAGATGGACATCTGCAATTGACGGAAGAATAATTGAAGTTGCAACTGCTGAAACGAATCGAGCAAAAGAGCTTCTAGATATATATGAAAGTTTAAGTCTGGAAGGTTTAACACAAAATGAAAGACTAGACATACTTCTGACGCTAAAACAGACAGTTACTCCATATAATATGAAACTTAGCAGGGAGATAGTTGGACTAGTTGACAGAGAAGCAGAGTTAATTATGCGTGGTGTTCCATGCAAACAGTTATCTGGACTGAGGCAGAGAATTCGGAATAGATTCATTCAATTTGCAAAGTTACCTCAAGTTAACCCAGAAGTGGGAAAATACCTTGCGGTACCTACAAACACACAGGAAGGAGAAGTACCATCATTAATACAAGATATTCAATACTGCGTATCGTGTGGACGATACCTGAAGAAAAAATGCTTCCCACTCAGTGCACGAGCTAACAGTCTAGTTCCGTGCGAATCGTGCAGACGTAATGATAATCGAGGAAGAAATCGACTAGATCTTGAGCCGTATCAATATATATTATTAGAACTACGAGAAAATGAGTCTAGGTTAGTAGAGAAAATGAAAAAAATTGCAAAGGACAATGCTCGAGAGGCAGAACTACAAAGATTAGAACGAGGTGAATCTCCTCAACCAGATACAGATATCATTATCAATGGAGATGATGATAAGGGTGTTTCCATAAATCCGCTCCCATTCTTGATAAACAAAGAAGATATAAGATTTATAATCGATCAAATCTGGGAAAATCGATCAGTCCTATCAGGCTGGACAGATTTATTTGATTTAACATTAACTCGATGGAAAATCAATGAACCATGGTCACCTTGGAATACTATAGTTGTGACTAGAGAGGAGGCTGAAATTCATGCAAACTTAGGTAAATTGAAAGTGGAAGATATTTATGCAGATCCTCTAATCAACTTAGTGAATCAAAGGCTTATAATGGGTAAGAATGAATTTTTGAGATTATATAGCAACGGTAAGAAAATGGCTAAGGAAATTTTGATTAATACTAAAAGAATGCAAAACCCAGAGAATACTTCACAATGGCTGAAAGAAAAACGTCAAAAGTTGCCACCTTTAATGAATATCCCACAATCACAAGTAATTAAGTCTCATGCGCCCACGTATCAACCACCAGATATTTTATTACCTGTTATAAAAGGTGAGAGAAGATGGAGTTCTTTAACAAAAGACAGTTCATGCACAACATAAACGATATAACCTGAAGGATGGTAAAGATTACTTCTTGATGCCAAATCACTTCTATTATCATTCAAATATATTTAAAAATCAAGTCTGTTTTGCTGCGTGGAATTTTAAAACGCATATGGTATAAATAATATTCATAAACGAACTATTTTTTTCTGCTAACGAAATAAAATCTATTGCAATTATCAAGTGTATTTTAAATATATATGTGATTTCCTAACCTCTGTAAATAAACTCTGTTACTGCATTTAAAAGTATTACACTAAATGTACTCAGGGAAGGGAATAGTAAGCATACTTTTCCAGTCGACTTTCTGGTCGACATATGGAAAAATTGACTATTCCCTCCGTCTAATAGAAACTGCAACACTCCTAAATCAACATTGGTAAGACAGATAATTGAAAACGCAGGAGCACTGGACAGCTGTTTCGTCCTGTTTTGGGACTCTACGTCGGTGCGCATGTACGACCTTACCAGGGATCGCATCCGAGATCTAGGCTGAAATTCGACTGCCCATGAATTTTGACTTTGTCAATTCGTGATTTATCGCCACCATCACCAGTGCCTCCAACGAGACTTAAAATCCTGACAATAACTTTAAATCTTCTTTTAGTAAACAGCTCAAATAGTCTATGGAACACAATGAATTCGAACACTCCCCATAATATAGAACTGCTAATTCAAAATTCTGCGCTTCGAAATTCCCTAAATGCAAAAGGTAGGTACGCCGCGAAAATGTATAGATATAAACAAGAAACCAATGTCATCTTTATATTAGCCAGTAACTATTCGTCACAGTACCACTTATTGAAACAATGAAATTCGCATATATAAAGCCATAAGAAAAGCTCATTGTTTATTCGCTTTTGACACCCTGACATATAAAACCTGAAACCTAATACTAATTATAAATGTGCCTTGATAGTAAGTCTCTGATATCACAATGATCCATTACTGTGCTCAATAAGGATTGTCGTTTTTCTTACAGCAAACTAGGCAGTTACCTGATGAAAAATATCGGCAAAATACTCAGTAGAGACTATTATTATTATCAGTGTATCAGAAACAAGTTGTCAACTAAGCTTAAAAATGCACATTTTTCAGTTAATTCTAGTTGTAGAGAAGAACGTGAAAAAAAGAATCAGTCCGTAGGAGTACATATACGGGAACTAGATCTTCATGTCAGTATAAGTGTCCCTTAAGTTGTGTAACACAATCATGTTTATTGTACATAAAACTAGAATTATCTGCTAAGATTATTTAAGATAAAGAAAGTTAGACTTCAGCTTGAAGCACACGCTAAAGGTATTGCCCAAAAAGATAATGAAAGCCTTGCAACTAAACCATCCAGTTCACGGTAGACAACTACACTAATATAATCCAACTGAGCTATAAATCTCTTCCACCATATCTGTGTGAAACTATATTTATAATACAATAAAAAATTATTACCCACTTTCAATAATGACATGAACAAAAAAAGAAATATGAGATACACTAGTAACTGCCTAAAAATTTAACTCGATGTAGAATTTATTGGTTAGTAAAGGAATATATACAGTTACAACGATATATGTCAATGCATTGAGTCGATACTTGTCACACGGCACATCAAGTTGAAATGTTTACAATAATCCGAAGTACATCAATAAAGCTTTCAGATGACGCTAGCATTAGTCCTTTACTTCCAGATAAGGCTACGGAAATAAGTAAAACCTTGGACTTCTGAAACGATTTCTACAACTCCAAGGTTGCATCACTTTCACCTTTTAAAAACCTAGCCTATTCACCTAGATTGCTGGAATGTCTGTATTCTTATGTTTCTATCAGCTTGTCATTATAGTTAGCAAACCTGTTATCTGCAGCTTAAAAGCAAACCGCTATTAGTTTATTATCATTTGTATACAGATGATTTGACAAAAAGGTATGCACACGGAGCTGAAAAGGTGTTCAACACCACACCAAATCTGTTTAGAGCCTCAAAAACAGTCTACCTAGAAAGAACAACAACAGTATCAATCTATGTCTGATTTGAAAGGTTCAATATAATCAAAAAGAGATTAATAAGCAACTTCAAACTAATGTAAATAGGCTCCAGAATTTAGAAAAAAAGATACATTCTGTTAACTGACAATCATGGGAATGTTGGTCTGCTACACTGTAAAGTGCACTTGAAGTCGAAGGCTCATAAATAATTTCCTGATGCAACCCTGCATTAGTTTCAGCGTCCAAATAGCATTTCAACCCTCATATAAAGTAAGTAAACCACCGAATGTTTCAAATGACCAGCGAGCACAAGCAAATTCCCATGATCGAATTCGAGGGAGAATGCTGACAACCACATTGTTAACAAATATGTTAATAGATAAATGCGTACGAAATTCAAAAATATTAACTCGCCAATATCATGTATTGATTTCTTTTTGATACATTTCTGAGTCATGATCCATTGGATAACACTTTTTCGTTTGAAACAATCGGTGGTAGGTGCAAGCTTTAGTGAAAACACTATCACTGCCCCAAACAGAAAGATATGCGCATTCTGGATTACACTGCTAGTCAATATCAAAAAATTAACACCCAACATATATTTACATATAACTATTACATTTGTCTTTCTTGCTTTGTTCAAGAAAACTATTTGACTGAAGAATGCAACTTAATCAGACAATTACATTTGGAATACGCATCGGTGATGAGTAAAATCAGACTTATTAGTGAAATGGGTTGTAAAAGACGAATGATAAGCTAGACAATCTCTGAGGAAAGCGGCACCTTAATTAGCTGTCAGGACAGAAGGCTAGAACGTTAGAGCGAATACTTTGAGGAGAGATATAGCTGTCTTACAGCCACGCTCAATTCTCTCAGCGTCCAACACCTTCCTGAAGTGAAAGCCAATATCGGTTTTGCAACTGTAACTGGTGTTTCAAAAACATATCCTTAGTTTGAAGCTGAGCAAAGCAGCAAGACCTGATGGAATGACTTCAATGGTGTTTAAGGACGGTGGTGACGAACTGTTGACTTGATTAACTTAGATATTACATAATCTCTCAGAATCAGAGATGCACTCGTTAAACTGGTGTAAATCATTGATTATCCTAATTTGTAAAAAGGTATGCAAGTCTACCTGCGACAATCATAGAGAGATTAGCTTGAAAAATGTAGTATCTAAATTACTAGGTTCAGTGATCCTGAACGGTGCCCTAGATAAACAAACCCTGGTAAACCAGGCAGGTGGTGTTTTGGTCATATCTTCACTCTTCGACAGATTCTGGAACATAGTCATACTTACCGGCATTAAACAATGGTCAGACTTCTCAACATGAAGGCGGCACTCGACTTCATTGACCGATAGGTGCTATGGGAGTGTCGAGAAATTACATCGCATTGATGAAGGTACTCCGTTCGAACTCACGCAGACATGTAATAACTTATGGTGAGTTGTTATCTGAAGTGATAATGATGATGCTCTTCACGGATGGCCACTGTCCCCATTTATGTTTAATTTCATCATAGACGTACTAATAGATGTGACCATAGTGACTTACGGATCGATTTCTTACTAAGGTAGTATCTCGTCAAATTAGGGCATGCAGATGATACTGTTCTTCCAGATCAAGGCGCCGGAAAAATGCAGTTCTCTGAAATCCTTGAGCAGAAATCTTTGTATGTTTGAGATGTGATTCGCCCCTGTTAAGTGTAAGGTGATGCTGCAGGACTGGACTACACCGACTCCTAGTTTACAGATATGGAATACACTGGTATCGACCATTTCACTTATTTGGGAAGTTGTGTCAGCCCTAATGGACTGATTACTGAAGAAATACCAGCACGGATACAAAAGGCTGGTTTGGCATTTGCTAACCTACATCATCTCTGGTGTAAAAGTGACAGCCGGCTATCGATCGAAGCTTGATGCCCTATTTTCTGCTCAGAAATCACAGAATGGCAAGAATGCTTTGACTGATACAGTAGAATTAATAAAAGAACAGGTGGAAAGTCAAGCGTCTATTAGAAAATCACAAATAAAAAATTAACAAGTACAAAAGAGGTGCAATAAACCCATTAAGTATTGGACAATTTCTGTTCCTCCAAGCTTTGATTCTCCATAGAATCTATCTACAAATGTTATACCGACCTAAAGTGGGAAAGAATAAACATCGTTTTAGGAAAAGCAGTCGACTATATAAAAAATAAAATGACATTATCGTTTATTATTATATTATTATTGTTCCCTTGGGTTCCAAGTGCAACATAGGGCTTCAGCAACATATCTCTTCTTTGTTCTATTTTCTGCTCTCCTCTTCATCTCCGCCCACGACTGCCCAAAATCCCGCATCTCTTCCATGTCACTCTTGGACGACCCACTCGCCGTTTCCCATTTGGATTCCACTCGAGGGCCTGGCACGCGATGTGATTCGACGGTCTCCTCAGCTCATGCCCAGTCCATCTCCATTTTCACCTACATATTTGTTGGACGATAGGCTCTTGTAAATTATAATTATATTTCAATAATTTACACATAATGATAAGTTTTTGTTTTTTGGTAATATTTCGAGCAAAATTACTGCCCGTGATCACACCAACTGTTGAAATTGTTTTGTTTTTAATTCACACAATAATGATTTGTACTCACATACAAAGTTCTTTTCTTTGTTTATTCATTTTTGTGTATTCAGAATTATATTCCAGGTTGAGTACAAATCATAAATGTGTGAATTAAAAACAAAACAATTCCAACAGTTGGTGTGATCACGAGACAGTAATTTTGCTCGAAATATTACCAAAAAACGAAACTTATCATTGTGTGTGAACTATTGAAATATAGTTATGATTTATTTGATCTATTTCACAATGGTCAAACTTTTTACCGACACTGATAAGTTCTTGTTTAGTTAGTTAGTTCCCAGCGTTTCTTGTTGCTAATTCGTTCTGTCCACTCGATCTTCAATATGGATCGAAGGCAACAGTTGATAAAAGTCAGCAACCTGTTAGAAATGCTTTTCGTGATTTGCCAAGTATCTGGCCTCGGCTAGTTTTCAAGTCTGTCTCAAACCCGGAAAAAGAGGGAGGGTTAGGCGTGGGGCTAGTGACCCTATCCCGGAAAATCAATAAAACTGCTACAGAAACTTCAATGCACAAGAAAAATAAGATGACATACCTCACCAATTTTGTAGCCCAGAGTAGAAGCCAACACTATCATTTCCATTTGAAAGACATATCCACGTGAAGTACACCGTGACACTAAGTCTTTTAGTACTTCTTTTTTGTATAATCTAAAAGTGTTTACATTATATGAAAGACAGTCAGTAGTTACACTAAAGACAAGTGTTTGTTTATTTAATCAAATACAAACTCAGTACAGTATAAGCACCAAAAGATGTTCTACGCAAAATAATGAGTCAGCAATGAAAAAAGTGAAATAAAGAAAAACTGGGGAACTAAAGAATGAAACAGGTAAACATACTTATCAAGTATATTCAAAAAGGTGTTCACTATCTTATATTACCTTCTAAAGTAGAAGAAAAAGATAAGTAAACTTCAGTGTGCTTATCACTGATGTTGAACACATAAAATCACCATACTTCCTGATCTTAGAAAGGCAAGGTGTAAGAGGGTCATTTCCCATTGCAGTCAGCGGGCCAACAAGGTAACCGAGTCCAAAAACCTAGGAAAATCTAGATGAGTTGACCCTACTAGGATAAGAAATCTAGAAAACAGCCCAGCCATAGCACTTACTTTACTTTTTACTTTGCTTCGGCTATCTCCTACGGAAGGATGAGCCGGCTTCATGAACTTCTCAAATCATCGCTACCCAGGCGCAGCGATCTGATGAAGAGAGTTTACGAAGTTTCATGGGAATTTGGTACGAGTGATGTCCCCAGAACCACTCGGCCTTTTGTTTGAGAGTGCAGCTCTAGCCTTTACACAACCAAGTGTGACCTACAAGGCAGTAGGAGTGGAGTAGGGAGTCCATTATCCATTGGCAGCCGGTGACCGGAGTTCGGTTCATACGCCTTTTTGAATGGGGCCAGACATCCAGGACATCCAACAAGCCCTTTGTCCATACGTCTGCCGGTGAGCTCCAGTGAGCTTCATAGGCCAGTCGTTGGAGGTTTGGAATCAGGGTTTAGCCATCTCCCCTAGACTGTCATCCAATGGACAGTCAACCCGGTGAAGAGCGCCGGGCATCCGCTTTCGCCCTCTCACTTTGGTGAAAAACACCTCCGCCAAGTGAAGGCAGTGAGTAGGACTTCCTCAGGAGAGGCTATGTAAGACGCCCGGTCATATGGGAGCATTTCAAGAGCACTACATGCAATTACACATAACCATACAATAAGATGGGATAAAATGACAGTCTTAAAATCTTATATGAAAGGGTGGTGGAAGAGATTAGTAGCAGAATCTCTATTTATTGCGTCAAATGAGGGTAAGTGCAATAGGAATGATTCAAAGCCTGTCCTGGACATCTAGAAAAGAGGACCATAAAACTCAAGTTTCGAAGTCAATTAGTTCTATTTGATAGGATTATCAACAATAAACTGTATTCGAAATGCCATTCAATAAAAAATACTGCTCCACTGTGTGATATATCGAATTGCATACTAACAATGTGTTCAAGTTTTGCATATATATTACTCAGCAGACTCTATTAGGAAATATAGATGATGGAGATATCAAATGCCTTAAAACTATTGGTGTATAAGGGACTGTGAAAGCTTAAATGGACAACTTTCTTATACATGTCATTCTAAACAACCTTTATAAACAAATGTGATATAGTTGACGGATAGATCTACTGCTACTACTACGAAGGATTTAATTAAACTTCATGTTCTCTAAAGCATCAAACAAGATTAATTTATGATCATGTTATTTTACTGGTCTGATTAGGTCTACAAAACTTAAAACGGAACACTGTCAGCAATGATTACACCCTTGAAAAAAAATTACAGAAAACATAAAAGAGACTTTTTGATAGTTAACATTTGGAACGGTTTTTAAACTAATCATACAGCCTAACCAATCGTTTTTATTTTCCCATGTGTACTATGGTGATTCATCAACATTTTTAATCCTTACTTCAATGACTTATGCGCCATTGTCTGTTTATATCCCAGTGAAACAATATACAAAAGTCCCAATAGATTTATGCACCGGTTATGCAGTGACCACAATCCTATTCTTATAGTATTCGTACCGTTTAAGCTTGCCATCTACAATGTCCACATATGGCCACGATTCAGTGGGCCAGCAGACTTCCACAAACATATTTGAGAATCGAAAAGAAAATGTTCATCATATGTAGTGGTTTTCTCATTTCTTCTGCTTTCAGGATCAATAAACAGTGTTGAACACTTCAGTGAACATATTTAAAATAAGAATAATTATCTGTACATTTTAATATTATTCAACTATCCTCTTCTTTCCGCTTTATATTGATATTATATTGTGTGGTGCATTTTTGGTGCTCATTATGCTTAGACTTTGTATTCAAATGAATGAAGAACAAATATTCAGATAATGTTATGAGTTTTCTACTACTCTAGTTGGGACGTTTAATACAAGACTAGTTTTAACTAGCTTTAACCACGACCAACAGAGTCTATTAGTTCACATATGCTTTCACAGGTAGTTACATAAGTAGGCCGAAGTGGTAGTCCACTAGGATTGTGTAACAAACCTCAGAGATTAAGCTTCATTGACGAGTGTTCCATAGCCTAATTCATACGAGACAATGGCTCGACATATCAAGTTGCTTCATAATAACGAACAGATAAAATAATTCACGGTTTCTTTGAGTTGTTGAAGAATTAGGCCTAAAGTATGTACTCAAGAAAGAGACGATTTTGAATTTATCACTACTTTGGTAATTAATTACTAGCTCTTACTTACATTTTACTTCTCTTAAATTTAGAATTTAACTTACGTGTTACTTTCTACATAAACCACCTAATTTGATATTGACCTCCAAATACTTTTCAGTTATTATTATTACACTGCACTTTCCTTTGGAATCCAAAGTCATTCAGACTGCAATAGGTGATCTGCTTGATACGACAAATGGCAATCAAGGGACCAAGTTTAAATGCACAAAACTACATACTACTGATTAACTGGGATGAGTAGCTGTATACTACTACCTCCAGCCTCACACTTGACCTCCCCTCTTCATCGGGCTTACTACCACCTAACCGATGTTGAGGGGTCTGTCAGTAGGGAATCAAAACCCGGAACAATTGCGTAGTTGTCAGTTACGAATCAAAAGATTACGTGGAAGGGACAGTACGAGCTTCAATAACTAAACTTGCTGCAAACTTTTACGGGTTATGAAATATTTACCTTTCCTTTCATTTTCCCAGAATAGAAATAAGAACGTTTTCAAAAGTAACTATTATTTACCTGAAACTTCCCGTCAAATCAGACGCTTTTGGTCGAAGGAGCACTTGAGCTATATAGTTCGCTGTACGACTAAAAAATAAGCAGAACAATGTATTAGTTATATCGGAAATATGATTGTCAAGTCTGAAATGAAATGGAGTCGTAACCATCGGGGTCCATTAAGTCTGACAAGAAGACAGATACTCGCCCCTGATATTGACGAATAGGCAGAAGTTGGAATTAAGGGGTCATTGGATCGGGTCCCAGTGGGTGAATGGTCTGTCAGCTCGTCTTGCAGGTCCTGGGTTCTTACCCAGGTGGGTGCAAACTACGGAAGATTCCCGAGAAAAGACAAGGCAGCTGTCCAGTTCTCACTGATTTCCAAATGCTTCTCTAACTGATTTCAGCTCATGATCAAGCCTGTAACCAATCAAATCTCTGCGAAACAACACCTGGAAATTTCTATGTTCCGATAACATGAATGGCCCCGATACACTGGTTTGACCAATGTAGTGGGCCTCACAGTCATTGATGCGACTACGGGCAATATACTGTATTCAAAGCGTCATCAATAAATAATGCAATATCACTGTGTTTTTATCAAATGAAATTACCATTATGATGGAATGCACCACACTCTTTGAGTAGTGAGTAGCACTACTAATTTATTAGGTGACATGTGTTTGTTTTTTATTCCAATCAACGTAATGTCCCAGTTAGCACAGAGTAGTGTGAACAAACATGGCGTTAGAGCTTTCATTAAACTTGAATGATTATAATCATGGTAAATATCTAAGTTGAGGACCCTATTCGGGAAAACAGATATACGACTTTGATTTTATTACTGCTGAGTGAAGCAAATTTCTTATTCTGTTAATAAATGAGTCACTTTTTCATTCCTTGTCTTCCGAGTGGAAATATGGCTTCAAGCTTTGAAACTCCAATACCAGTGTTGGTATTTTACTGGATTTGGTTGCTAGCCTGACGCCCAACCTTTCGTTTTTCCGAGCTTACAACCGGCTGGTAAACTATGCACTTGGACCCAGAACACGTGCATGCTTGGTGAGCATTCTACCGTCGAACCACAGATACACTGAATACATTATACAATGACATAAATCAGGCTAGTAAGTCACTACCTAACCTACTGAGATAGCCTAAAAACAGTATATATATATATATATATATATATATCGGCTAGTATTTTTCTTCACAACCCACTTGGTAAACCCTAATGGTCATTTCTCACCAGAACTGGAAGCAACTTCATCTCGCAGTCAGTCACCAGTGAGCATTCGATTAATTTCCAAGTGCCAACCTGCAGAGACTTTTTTGATATCCAGTTAGATCAATAACAGATATTTGTTGGAGAACCACTGAAAACCAGGGAGCACTAGACAGTTCTTTCGCCATAATTTGGGAGTTTTTTGCATTAGGCATCTGTGACACTACCAGAGATCGGACACATGACCCACACGTTACAGGGCCAGCCGGTTGACCATTAAGCCGCTGGGGAGGAATCCAAAACTTCTACTAATTTATGATACATAGAGCCACTGGCAACCACTGTCATCAGTGAGTATTTATTTTCACAATCGACTAGGCAAACGCTAATATCCCTAGGTCCAATCCCTAATGGGGTTATGGGCGTGTACTACTGAAGTTCTAAACCAGACTAAAACAACTGTTCAATACTCCCTGGTTCTCATTGGTTTTCGAAATGAAGTCAGGTCACGATTCAGCTAGAAACCAATTAAATCCTCACAAGGAAACAACTGAGAAGAACTGACAGTAGCATGCGATTCTAAAATGGTAATACTCTCGTGCATGAGTATTACATCAGAATTAAATTACTTGATGTGGTTATTTGATCTGCTTAACACGTCCAAAAAATCTGGAAAATTTCGCTAAATGGGTGGAATGAACACTTTAAAAGGCTACACGTACACCATCTAAATAAAGCAAAGCAGCGACCAATAAACATATGGTAATACTTCACATTATACAAAACATACCTGAATTCTGGGAAGTGAAAGCTTTGGTTGGTTCTTTTCTGACAGCCGGAACACCATGATATTAAAGTGTATTTTAAGTTTAGTTCACAATGATGACATATTTGAGATGAGTAAGGCCGAAGCAGTCATATTTTAAAAAGCTAGAACCTAAACCTAAACAGTGCAACTACAGTTAACCCTACTGATTTTTCAGCAATTCCAATCAAATCTAAATGTATCTATGCTTGATAACATAGTGCGTAATTTACATAGTGCTTTATTGTTTACCTTCTCTAAATAAAAAACGCACACTCTGAATCCGATGTAACACCTATTTTCTGGTAACTGAATTCTAAATTCCTCATGCTCGATATCCCTTAGCCAAATTTTCAACTTTGACACAATCCATAACCGCAAACATGTGGCTTTAGCTGCAGTTACAGAATATATATATTTTATAAGTATACTCGCAGAATGTAACTCAGAAGCTCCGTAAACGATGAAATTCACCATGAGTTCATTTGTCAGTAGAAATAAACGCATATATGATAAAGCTTCAAAAAACTATAACAGAAGATTACTCTAGGAAAAAGTTAGTGGTATGTTAATTTAACAGTTGCTCAAAATTCTAGGTTGAAATAATTATCAAGTGATAATAATAATATTTTGCTTTATTCCAAAACAGTACTTGTGATACAGAATGGAATTCTCAGCATTTTTACTACAGTATTGCATCCAGTTAGTACATTATCAATAAATAGAATTCTACATAGATTGAGGAAACCACAGTTTATTATTACAACAATACATTGGCATGTCAGTAGAAAAGGTAAATCTGAAACCGTGTTTGATGCAAGGAAACTAACCTGATCAGCTTACGCTTAAGGTCCCAACCACTTACACCTCCATTACATGAATATCGAGTACCAGTGACAACATCATAGTCATGCTGCTTCTGTAATCTTAAGTTTTCCTAATTTAATTGGTTCATATGATACGTACTTGATGAATTCAGGAATAAACTTTGGCTGCAACAGAAAAATTACGAAAACTGAAATAAGGGGCGTTTTTCGGAAAAATACACACTACGTTTATAATTGAGTAATTATTTTTCCCTATTAATACAGTCTAGATAAGTCGTCAATTTCAGATATCTTGAATACAGACACGCTGCTCAACCTAGCCAAAAGTTAGGTGTTAAAAAATAAAGTTTAGTTTCCTTTGGATTCTTAAATATGATTTCTCTTTTGCATATGTATAATATTTAGAGAAAAATAATGTGTCTCAAAGGAAATATAAACACAGTGGTTATGCTTTACATCAACTTCTTGTGGTTGGAAACACAGTAACTACTGAGTGACTTATTTTCTAGAACATTCTCCACACACCATCATGTAATATTTAACTTTATACCATCCTAATAAGAAAGTGAAACAGATAAGCATAGAGAAAACTAGTAAGAGATACGTAAACCACTTAGATCCGCATATCAGAATAACAATCAAACAGATAAGGTCAGTCACTTCTGGCCTACGTCAAAACTTTTCATGGAACAATCAATGTGATGAATCCTGCTGACATGTGAGTAGTATGACGCTTAACTAGTCACAGCTTACAGTTACGACTTACAACTGTATATCTGTCTTGCTATTCGTGGTAAGCCCAAACACTGGAACTCAGCGATTGTACTGCGTACACACTCTTATTTTATGTGTAGTGTCTAAACCCTCGATATACATTCTTTTCAACCGAAAAAAGTATAGAAAGTAAGCTACAGTGAAGTAGATGTCTTTCTCGCTGGACGCATAGAATTGAAAATCACACTGAAAGAAACTTATGTTAGGAGAGTAACGTTATCTGCTAAAACTAAAGAGTCAACTAAAATATAACTATGCCTTTTACATGATTCATGAAGTACTGATATTAGAATGGCACATGGCAATACCTTAGCCAATATTTTCTCGTAGACACATTTATTTACGTGCAGCATATATTACTTAGGCAAACATTCAGTTCAGACTTACATGATGAGATAAATCAGCGTCCATGATTATGATAAAATCACCTTTTGCAAACTTAAGACCATGCAAATAAGCTGAGCCTAAATCAAAAATTTTCTGAATACTGACACATGTAAACCTACCTAGTCCCAATTTTCCACTCCTTGGTTTTAAATTCTAAACAAAGCCAAATTAAGGAAATTACACATACTATTTTATTTTCCCCGAAGATAGACTGAAGCTTCTTAGCCACTTCACCTGTTCCATCCGGACTGTTGTCGTCTACAATTATCACTTCATAGGAAAGATTGCTGCAAGAGAATATTAAAGAACTTGTGACTCAGCAAAACTAGTTAAAGATAATCAGAAACACTAAGCATAATAGAGAAATAATGGCCAGTAGTACGAAGGAATAGGCCCCACCATAATACCAGAGACTGCGTTTTGGACTCAGTAAAAGAGTAATGTAAAAGCCATCACAGTTACACTACAAGCAAACGAACATATGCTTCAAAATAACAAACACAGAGACTTAAGGGGAGCAAATAAGTTGACATAATCTGAATAACGCATAGTCTTACAATAAGGTAAATAAACAATACGAGCTCCATGATATAATCACGAGGGGTCTTTCGTTTCCATTCCCAGCATTTTAACATCTTCCATGTATTTGTCTTCTGGTTGTTTGTATCACTTTTCCTTCATAATATAGTCTATCCACATGATACATCATTCTTCTTGAAACTAGTATTGGCAATCTTCGTACAAACGACAATTAACACTAACATGTTTCCGCTGAAACAAATGGCTTAAATTGTATTCTCACTTGCGAATGTACAGCGATTATATACACACTTCAAATAGTCTGCACTATCTTTCCAAACTAAGATTTTTTCTTGTCAAGAGTTTGTATCCACTTGAATTGTCAATATTTATTTTATTCTGAAACAAGTATTAGGCCTAAAGAAATTGTATAATGCCATGAAAAGTAGGTCAACTAATTTTACTTCACTTAAGATTTCTGACATATTTGCCTGATCCACAGTTTAGAGTCTGGCTGGAGACAAACATTAGCATTTTGTGCTTCAAAGCATTGTTTTACTTCTAAAATGTCTTTTGTCTACTATACTAATGCGTGTTGAAAGAAAATTACTTTTGCACAATGAATACAACAAAACACTTGTGCGTAAGTCTAGACATTTGATAGATTTAGTCATGTGTAAAAATTTACAGCTATTCAGAATTTTGATTGGTACGCAATTGATCTCCAGTCAGAGAGTGCACCTGGGCAGTGTGGCCAAAACGTGGGCTAAGTGGGTAGTTTTGATGGGCAAACAGGTGGTGTAAATGCTACATAATTTACCCACTTTACTCATATTGGCCACTTTTCCCCGTTTGCTCATGTCCAGAAAAATTAAATTGTCCCACTTTTTACCAGTTTCTCCACCTTTTCAACGACCACTTTGCCCACTTTATTCATGTCATTTTCTAAAATAGCCCACTTAATGCTACTTCACTCATGTAACAACCGAAAACAGCCCACCTTTTCCCAGGTCCTCCAAAAAAATTAACCGATTGGGTAGGATCCTACCCACTATCTTTGTCAATATTTGGAAGAACTTCCGAGTACAACAAAAGATAATTTCACCGACATCAAAACCATGTCTGCAGTAGTGACACATAGTATATTTTCATATTAAGTACAATTGAGTGTAAAACTGCTAAATCTATGTGATTTTGCTACCTGAAACTAGTCTTTACACACATATTACGCTAAGTGGCAATGGGAATTTCGTTATGTTAGACAATGTTTTTAGGGTAGCTTTAAGGTGCTGAAAGTACCATTTGGCATGCGCAAACCAGACATGTGAAAAAGAGAGACCAAAAGCCTTTGCACTCATTAACTCAAATAAATTTAAAACGATTAGGAAGGAAGCAGTTGCATGAAAAAGTGTGAAAAACTGCAGTTTCAAGAACCGCCAGTTTTGATGAATATTCTCAACACTTTCCATTTGAAAAATGAACACAAGAAACCTGAGTATGATTGGGAAATTCCTGAAGGTTGAGACGTGAACGAAACGTGAGAAGGGAATGTAACAGCGCATTCTCTTCTATTTGCCCCATTTTACCACGAAAAACTGGGTGGTGGGGTGCTGGCGAATAAATAAAAAATTAGGGGAATTACAAAGAAATGATAAGTATCCAAGCAATTTTAAGATATGAAACAGCAGTATTTTTCTCTTTGTATTACCAAAACGTGGTAAGCTTTGTTTTAATTTTTAAGACATGTAATACACTTGTTAAAAAAGTATATTAATTTATAGATTGTTTTCAACTTGAAACTGAGCACATACTTTTCGTTCATGACTTTATCAATGATCCATATGATGATTGGTAAGTTTTCCCTCTCATTATACGTAGGCAGAATAATCGAATACAACGTCATCTTCAAAGTGAAAGTCAAAATTGCAGTGACCCGACCAAGGTCATCTGCTCCTATTTCGACCTTGCTAGAATCCAATATCCAATATCGTTTTTGCGAGCTAGTATAAACCAATTTGATTTCTTTGTGCTCGCCTCTTGATTGTGAGGTACAGGTTCCTGATCTTCGGTAAACTTCTGCGTAGCTCGTCCCGCCACTCGACTGCCGTAGCTTTGGTTGACTCCAAAAGGAGTAGTTCAGGGATTAATTATATGTGGTTTGTAGTATGAGGTGTGTTAAGACTGTTACTACTGTGGATTGAGTTGGTCCTTTTACCAGTTAGTCCCCCAGTATCGTCGTCAAAAGAAAGGAGATAATAATAATAGATATAATTGGTAAAGTTATTCAGACTAACAGACAGAAGAAGAAATAAAGAAAACGTAACAACAGTCAGCTGATTAAATTTGAAGAATAATATGAATAATATATATCTCGGTAATAATGATAATAATAGGTGTAGTTAAAGTTGTCAGGAGAGTAAGACGGGAGAGAATGTAAAGAAGTAAAACGACAAGTTTAATTGCCTACCTCTGAATGGTGTATGCGATTTTAAGGGGATAGGCCATTTGGATGCAGTCCTTGTGTCGCTGCATGGTTGTCCAGCCTTCGCTCAAAGGCGTCCACAGACGGTGCCATAGCTACATCTGCCAGTAAGGAATTCCAGGGAAGGCGAACCCGCAGGGAAAAGAAGTGGGAGCGCACCCGACTCCTTGCCCTCTGGTGAGCTACCGTTCTAGGATTTCCACGAGGGAGCCTATACCTACTCAATGGCAGAACACCTTTGATTGGGTGATTCTGATCATTTGTTATTTTGTAGGCAGTAATTAAATCCCCCCTAAGACGACGGTAACTAAGTGTGAATAGGCCTAATTTCTTCAGCCTTACATCATATGGTTTGTTTCGGAGACCAACCACTCCTTTTGTTCCCCGTCGTTGGAGGTTGGCGTCTCTTCTAAGCAATGGGGGTGTAATAATATTATGCACTTCAAGGTGTGGTCTGACGTATGTTTTGCACAACCTTAGAAAGAGCTCAGGAGTGAGTGCACCTAATTGTCTATGTGTAAATTGTATGACCGCATATGCCCTCGCTACATCCCCGTGTAATTTACGCTTGTATCTACTTTTTCCGTTAGAACTAGACCTTAGTCGCCTTCCGACGTTGAGCAGGACAAGCTTTCATTGCACAGGGTGTAACTTGCATTCTGCAGTCTACAGGTGCGTAACTTCACTACTTCGCACTTTTTCCGGTTGACAATCATGCCACTGGCCACAACCAAGTCTTCCAGAAGGTTTAGATCTTCCTGTAGCCTATCTGAGTCCTCCGGACACTTTATCGCCCTCCATATAATAATGATATATTCCCACTTTTGTACACGAGTTTACAGGCATCATCAATTCGATATATTACACATACGATTAGTAAGTGTAGTTAGTAATGATAATACAAGGCACGTATTTATTCCGACAAATGTAGGACACACCAGTTGTACAGGCATGGATAAGTATTATTTAAGTTACGTATTTGAATTACATGATTTACTGCTAAATAACATGGTTGCTGTCATTTTATCTGTAGTTTGTGGAAAAAATCTGATAACTAGTGATTAAATGGAACACATCAAGAAATATAGAGATATTGACTTCGCATAAACAAAAAACCCAAGTATTCGCTGAATGGATTACAGATACTTGGGAAAATAAATAAAGCTTGAAGTCAATTCCCTCATAAAACAATAAAGTGTGTCTTATATTAATATACTCTCACTTAATGCACATGAAGGACTCCAGTTGACAGGCATCATCAATATGATAATAATGTACACATGGAGTAAACATGTTTGAAATTTTTCACTAACACAAGAGAAGTATTAATCATACAGCAACCGGTTGATTTTTTATTCTTTTCGGTCTGGAACCAGAATAAATACGAACCAATCCATACAAAGTGTCGAAAGAGGCATGCAGGAGCAGAATTTTACCATCGAATTAGTCAGTGGGATCTGAAATGCAGCTGTCAGCATATTTTCGTTATTTCATAGATATCCAGGTTTATTGGCGCTGTATAGGTAGTGATTTGGATTTGTTATCATGATCGTCATATGGATGAATATTCAAATATGTACTACAACTTGTTTGCCCTTCGGATTTAGTTAATTACATTGCGTGTTAAGTTTGATTACTCTGCTATTTTGACATATTCTGCAGTGTCGCCGTGATGATGGGAAGCATGCATATGCTTTAAATGTATTACTTTGCTGGCTACTATTTCCACTGAGTGTATACAACGGGAACTGTGGATTTATGTATTTCCTCACCACTGTGGATAAAAGATCACCGCATTCCTTTTGGAAAAGAGACCAGTTGGTGGATTATAAATGATGTCCAAGTAACTTATATCCTTCGATGTGATGTTGTGGTAAGTCTCGACCTTGTTTTCTCCTATTTCATTCGTATGTTGGTTATGGTTCACCCATGTATGAGGTAGACAATTCGATCGACTCTTATTTGTATGGGTGTTATTTTCATGACTGCTGCTTTTTTGTCTGAAATTATAGATAAAGTCAAAACAAACAACAGGTGTAGTCTCTAATTTCATACATTAAATGGGCCTATAATTTCTGAGGCTCTTACATGGGAATTAGCACTGGTATCACTTGCAAACTCACTTAGTGTGTCATTAAGTGCCTTTTAAAAGGACACTATTGAGCTTGCTAGTCGTATTTCCTCAGGTAGTTTGTTCCATATTTGGGCAGATCTAATCATGAAAAACTTTTGCCTGATGGCTGTTTTACATTGTTCTATAGCCACCGTACCTTTAGTGTGTCTTAGGTTATATCCAGTGTCTTCTGAAAACCGAGTACAATTAGTAGGTGTATACACTATGTGGTTAAGAAGCTTATAGAAGAGTACCAGATTTAGTCGCAGTCGTCTTAACCATAAAGTTTCTAGTCCTAGGATTTCACATCTGGTAGAGTAGTTTGTGCCGTTTTCGGTTCCGAGTAATTTTAGCGTGAAGTACCTCTGTATTCCTTCTACTTTTAGTTTGTTTTCTATACGTATACTACTAAATATGAATGAGCAGTAATCTAGGAGTGGGCGCTCACAAACCTTGTACAGTAGTATTCTGGATTCACTTGTGTAGAAGTTCCTGAGTAGGAAACTAATAAGCCTGCGTGATTTCGATACTTGTTTCGAGATATGCTCAGAAAATGATAGATTGTGTGAATATTTCAGTCCTAGGTCTAGCACAGATTTGAGTCTGGGGATTTTGTGGCTCTGAATTGCTAGGTCGAGTTATAGGTTGGGACAGCCTATGCAGAGCCAGCCACACTTTTCGACATTAAACTCAAGTCTCCAGGTGTCACACCATATATCCACTTTTGTTAATTCTTCATGTATGAAGTTCCCCGAGTTGTGCCTTGATTTTATGTCTCTTCTCAAGATTTTTAAACGTTTCATGTATCTGATGTAATGCACCAAATTTTTATATAAATAAAATTTCCTTTTCAGTTTCCTTAGTTTTAATCGCGTTTTGCGGTCTATTAATAGAGTTGGTGTCTTTAGGGCAGATTTTAGGTGTGCGATTGTGTCTATTACCGAACTGACTGTCTTGTAGAAGGTATCAAGTGTTACTTCTAAGTTATTATTGGTAAAGTATTCATCCCAGTCAGATCTTCTCAAGAGCGTTGATAGGAATTCCCAGTCGGCATTTCTATAGTCCCTATATTTATAGTGAACCGGGGAATTTTTACGTGTGTTTTTAGTTGTTAGTTGAAGAGGTAGGGTGCAGTACAGTATGTTGTGATCACTGTTTTCAAGTTTATCCTCCACCTCTATCGAGATCGGCTCCATTTTGTGGCAGAGGACTAAGTCGAGAATATTGTTATGTCGTGTTGGGAGGCGTACGCACTGCTTCCATCCTCCTACATCTATAATTTCTAGGAGCTCGTCATGGATTCTAGGTCCAGTGCAGGTATCCCAGTTCACTCCGGGGAGGTCAAAACCGCCACAAATTATTTTATAGTCGAATTCCAGAGTAGGTACATGCTCCAGTATTTCTACGATAACCGTTTCAGTCGTTTTAGGGCTGCTGGGGATTCTGTATATACATCCCACTAGAATTTTATTTTCATTCGTGTTGATGTTTTTCCACTTAGACTCTGGGAGTTTGTTGATGGTTAGGTTTGTAAAAGTATTGGAGTCAATGGATTTAGAAGCATATATTAGACAGCCGCCTCCTCTTTTGTCCACTCTATCATTCCTGTGGATGTCATAGTTTTCAATTATCAGCTTTGTGTCAGGTGAATCATTAGTTAGCCAAGTTTCAGTTACCAGGATCAGTGTTGGCCGTTCCATGTATACCAAGCTGCGGAGGGAAGTTATTTTGTTAAGGAGAGATCGAGCATTTAAGAGCATAATTTTCAGAAAACAGTTTTGTTGGGAGGGTAATTAGTGGGTTTTCTTGTTACTATCCCTAACTCCTGGTTGCCTATGTTATGTTCGGAGTCTAATGCACTGACAGGGTGTACTTAAGAGGTTTGCAGCTCTTAACAAGGAGTGATGAACCGACTTTATGGGCTCATTGTCAGGTATGTTGTACACTGTGGCGCTCTGTTTAGTAGCGAGTCTCTTAACAACTTCGCTCGATAGATAGTCCATAGCGTTCTCTAGCTTCTTAGCATGTTCCAATTCAGCATCGGTTCAGTTTAGGAAAGCGAAATCCCCCAGTTCCTTTTAGAGATGGAAGATTGTTTCCGGTACCGGGTCAAGTAGATTTAGTTTCGTCCTAAGGTCATTTATTAGTAGATGCATGTCATTTATGATGCAGACTAAATTAGTTATCTCTGCCTTTTCTGACAGGATGTCTTCCACCTGTATTACAGGTGTTAGCATTATGTTGGAACCGTTTGTATTGGGTGAACTGCTAATTACAGCTGATTTTAGGGGTGATAATGAGTTACTAGATAAGCTTAAGCTATTTTCTAAATTACTAGTGTTCCTAAGAACACGCTTGTTAGAGTT